GCCTACGTAAAACTATGTCATAAATCAGTTTAAGTGCGTTGGGCATAAAAAAATTGGCACAAAGAGCTCCAGGTAAATTTAGAATAGGGAAATGAGAAGTGGAGTAAAAAAAACAAAGTGGGAACTGTATGCCCACGTGTACCGGGTGACAAAGAAGTCCGTCGCTTTCTTATTATTATCCTTCCTGTGCAGAGGAAGGCAGCACGGGTAATGTTATTCAAAAATATACCGAAGACAACGATTTCAACCCTCCAATCGATGTGACGCCATTCGAGGGTAGGAAAAGGATTATGATTTGAAGGGACACACGCGCGCTATACGTAAAGGAGTAGTCTTTATTAAGGACCCCGAGACGGACGAAGACGAAGAAGGGCAAGGACAAAGGACAGCTGGGCCTGCCAAGGAAAACATCTGCTCAGGAGGGTCGGATTATAAGATGACGCAAATGAAATTGCAGGACAATGGATGTATTCAAGGCTTTCAACAACCCGACCAACAACAACATGAATGGAATCTTTTTCGGGCCTAATCTGAATATGTACAAGAAAGTGAAAACTTGTGCGTGTTTATCAATTGATAAAACGCGTTGGAATATGTATGTATATAATAGTTTGCGGAAAGCCAAATTGCTTGGGACGTGTCCAGACGTCGGTGCTGCATAAATAATGACATTATGCACTTACCTTGACAACACGAAAGGTCTTAAGACACATCTATCATTGCTAAACACATCACGTCACAGTCCGCTTATTTTTTACTTCTCTTAAAAATGCACAAAGAACGGTGCTTCTCATGAATTTATGAACCGAAAATGAGTAAATAAATTCTAATTAGACTTACCCTTTCGTTTCAATTGCAGGCGAAACAGTGTAATCTGTAAAGACAAAATAAAAATTACCTATTGATCAAACACAATATACATAAATATGATTATGTTAAGGATAAAATGGTTGTAAACGGATTGAAAAAATAACCGTGATACAGGATTGGTACATTTACGCAGACTTGCAGATATATATATATATTAAGGTCGTGAAAGTGCCGGTGCGTTCCGTCGAGAGAAAGGTCAGTTGTAATGGCAAATAATAATAAAACCAATAACTTTTGCTTTAATCGCTCTGTTAATCGGCGCAAGTAAACAAAATTCTTTACAAGATAAATTTACATTTCAATGAAATGTAAACCGAGCGAAATGTAAAACGTTTAAATATATTTATGATACTAAAAATAGATTTCAATAACGTCTTTGCAGTTCAAACCACAATCAATATTTATATATACGTTTTACTATTATATATACAATTTACTATCATTCTATTCCAGCATATTAATATTTACATCTTAAGACAACAAAAACACTTATTATACATTAATAGTTCTTTTAAATTAACCGAAATGAACAAATATAAAAATAATTCTTCTAGAAACTTTTAAATATATTAAATTATAATCCATTACGGTTGACAACAAAAAATATAAATATTTACTGTATGCAGCACACATTACAGTTCAATATTCATCGATCCTATAATGACAACTATTTAATAGTAGTAGCAAACGTACCTGTACCACATTAATTTAAACAAAAAAAATAATATTATTAGCTTATATTTATAAAGAATACTGACATATTGTAGTTATTATTATGTCGTGTCCCAGGGATGGAATTGTGGACACTGTGGAATATTGTCTCAATAGTTGGGAATTTAATGAAATTCGTTTGGTTTTACATAACTTTATTCGTTAGTTGGTCGATTTAAGATTCATCTGAGACTATGCTCGTCTTAGATTTTTATGAGACTGATTCTAAATAGATATTCTACTTATAAAGTTAATTCTTATTAATACGGGGTGGGAGTTGTGATTGGGAGTAGGGTTTGTATATATTGATGATTACGCGTTCCTGCGGGAATCGGCCTTAGTGGTTTTGTTTATTATAAGACCGGGACAAAATCCTAAGCATTTGTTTATATGAAAAAGATGATTGATTACGATTGTACGCGTAATGATCATTATGTGTTTATAATAAAGACTTGAATTCGGAGAAAAGGTATAGGAGTATCGATGGGAATGTTTACGCTTGGTCCCCTTTGTTTATATTGTGTATCGAATCGGGATCACGGTGGAGATTCCTTTATGCTGATGTATATTTTTTATATAATAATGCGACTAAGACACGCCGTGGGTGTCTCTAGTTCGTTATTAAACTATATTAATAATAACAATTATAATAATAATAATGGACACAACAACTACCCAACATTAATGGGATTTTCGTTGTAATGTATTACCAATTGAGACATCGCTCTGACAAAGAAACCACTGTCATGGGTAAGAATTTTTCGTAAATCATTTCCGCAGTGGGAGATTCGCCAAGAGGCATAAATCGTTCCAAACGCTGCAGGATATTGTATACAATTTATTTTCTACTTTTTTTTTGTACAAATAATAAACAGGAAAATTCCCATAAACAAATATAAAATTTAAATCTCATTTATTATATAATAGATTTATAATAAATCGTCCGTTTTGTGTAAATTGATATATGAAGACAATTATTTCAATTACAGTGCATTAAGTTGCATCAATAATATTTATTTTGAAACGTTTTCTTGGATAATCTATGAACATGCAACAATATTATTGCAACTATGCATTCTATATTTAGCTTTATAAACATTTCTCACATTAATATTAGTTGATCAACATTGGATTAAAATAACTTTGCTTAACTATAAATATGTTTTCTTAATGTATACTAAAAATAAAAGTTTTTAAAAATTTGACCTTTCACGATCAAGACAAAAGTTTTCAAAACTCCTCAACTTTATTCGTTTTATTAATACACCCAAACCTTACATTGCGTCTGTCATGTCTTTGGAAATAATGAAATAATGAAAATCTATTTGCAAATTTGGACAATCATATTCCGTAAGGAAATAATGATTTTAGATGTAGATAAATACTTTATTATTCTATATAAATGTCTATTACAATAATTAAAATTGTAACCCTTTTTATGAACTGAAAATATACATGTAAATCGATTAATAACAAAATTATCTACCTTATTGTATTTTACACTATAAAAATGAACAAAACCAACAGGAAATACACTAGAAGCATACTTTCAAAGTAGGAATAGGACCAGAGCTCTGAGTTCTTAACGAAGGAAGATGGAGACTCCGTGGACATGCTAATTCTCTGAATGACCCAAATGTAGAATTTTAATACTCAAACTGCGATGTTGTTGTAATTGCTTTAAATTACAACATTAAACAAATACCCATAACGATACGACGTTATGTAAGGTCTGGATGTACAGCAAAAACGTTGTCACACGGTATTAAATATTCTTGATTAAATTGGCTTCCTAATTTATATTCCAATATAAATCTAATCACACTTAAGTTCTAATTATAAGAATATGAATTATTACCGGATGTAATTATACACGTTATTTTACGTTTAGTGAACGTAATATTATTAATTATATTTATCGTCGCTTGAATTTCGTGTTAGAATATATCACTCCTAATGAGATTTACTATTTAGAGGTGCCATCCTCTCTGGACTCTTATTGGATGTTATTTAGTCATTCCTAAATCTTTGGATCAGTTTTAAATATCCAGGCAACAGCTACATTTCTAACTTTAGTTTTTAATGGCCAATGACGTAAAATACTGAAACATCGTTATTTTAAAATGAATGTAATGAGAATCATGGTATGAAAGTCTATTCGGGTGATATCATCTACAGAGATATAAATAATTGTAACAAATGCTATGTGCGTGTTATTATAAAATTTATAGTTGTGAACTTTTTGCGACTGCTCAATAGTCGATAAATTAAGCAAAATTCATTGTTTCGAATGCCATTTTGAACTTCCGCCCGTTTCCAAGCCTTATGGTGCACGAACACGCCAGGTGCTTCTAATAACTTTAATTATGGAGACATGTGTGTGGATGTTAAACGTGTACATGGGGTAGAACCACATCCATATGAACGCCGATCTAGAGGACGAAAATAAAAATAAACTCGTACCTTTCACATTGAATCTCTCCTGCAAATAACTGACGTTGTTGGACAGGTTCTTCCTATACTCGTTCACTTCTCGTTGAAGGGCTTCCAAACTGGCGGATTGAAAACAACCGTCGAGGGGTTTGTTACAGCGGATTTCCTTTTTAAGATCATCATAGCTGCTGCACGTATTGAAGACAGTTTTGCAAAGTATGTTATCAATGTTTACTCTGAAACTGCTCTGCTGTTTGATATTGTCTATGTTAGTCTTTAAAAGTTCAGAAGCTATGTTATTTTCACATTTATTGTTGACGTCTATACGCGGGGTCAATCCTTTCATGGATTTCTTTGTTTTCTTCGGCACAATCTTCGTTGGTCCACTTTTGCTCCTTTTTGAAGACATTTGAAGAATTTTTGAATGATTCTCAGTTTCAACGGACGACGATTGCTTTGGTCTTATGCTTTTAATCTTATTGCGACTTCGGAATTTACTTTCCATGATATTACCGTATATTTATGTCATTGATACTTTAATAGTGTACATACATTGTATAGAAGAGCGTAACAGTTTCAAAAAAACGCGAGAACAAAAATTTTGACGAACACCGAATGCTCACACATGTCGCTCAAAACATTGCGTTAACCGCCACCTATCAACATCCAACTTAACGAATAACATGTAAAATTTATAAGCAAATATATCATATGCAGTATGTAACTAGATACTAACTTTTTTATTATCTTTATCAACATTTTTAATTAGTAATATAAGTATCAACTAATTTGAAACTTTTCATAACATGACATATGCAACCAAATATACATATAACAAAACTACTATTTCATAATTTTAACACCTTTTATAGTCATTTAAATAATAATTAACACGCATTTTGTAATATGCGTTATTTTATTACATAAATAAAGCTATGAAATAAGACAAAATTGTATAATTATATTGGCATTCCTGTCCTCCCTTCAGAAAACAGTTTGTAACCAATTGTAACCTCAAACATTCTTCTTGGTTTATTGATCACGTTAATAATTTGTAAATAGTTATAACAAAGTTATAAATTAAAATGAGCGTTCTACCTCCAATTACCTCTGATGCCATCGATGCGGACCAAATTAGAACCGTAATTACAGAAGTCATCTATTTAGGTTATAATTTCTAAATGAATTCCAATTTCAGTTCAAAGAGTTTTTAATCAACTACAATAAAGTATCAGAGCTGTGTTTCACAGATTGCGTTAACGACTTCACAAGTCGAAATGTTAAAGGCAAAGAAGTAAGTTATAATCTAATAGTTAGATTTTTTTTTGGATAAATTCATTTTGTTTTATGTTTTAGGAGAAATGTGCATACACTTGCATGGAGAAATTCCTGAAAACCAATCAGAGGATATCCCAAAGGTTCTCAGAGTTCCAAATGTTGGCCAATGAAAATGCCATGGCTGCTGCTCAGAAGATGGGCGGCAAAGTGCCCAGTTAAAACTGTTACAAGACTATAACATGCATTTAATGTTCATTTTCATGGTTCTGTCTTGAGAGGTGTTCATAATTGTAACATAATTAATAGTAATAATTAGATATTTAAATCATATTAATTTCGTTTTATTGACGTTTCAACCTTAAATAATACGAATATAAATATGTATAAAAGTGGTTTTATTATAAATATTATTATGTAAGAAACAGTTCAATTGGACTATAGTAACTTGGGTAAGGTTTATTAAAAGAAGCAGAATCGTTTTCTTCCGTTTTTAGGTTTTTCCGTTTCATTCAAGATGAGCGGTTGCGTTTCTTCGTTTGGCGTCTTGTAGTATTTGTGGTGCAATGTATAGTCAATCAGAGTATTCATAGCAATATCTGAAAACAAGAAAGAAGAATTTTAATAACGATTTTGCTAATAGTCTCAGTAAAAAGTATCTACATTTTTAGAAGCCTAAACCACTGAAAAAAATATTTCTTCCGTGTTATCATATAGCGCAAATCATCCGTTCAAGTAATATCAGTAAAATATGTTACTTGTTCTTCCTTCCACCGCCCTTCTCACTTTTATGCTTTACAAAATATTATATGGACATAATAATGTTTAGTAAAGATAATTACCTAAATTAATATTTTCTTTTGCAGAAGTTATAAACCAAGTAAGTATGTTGTTTTCCTTGCAAAATTCATCGAGATGTTTCGGAATGTTATCGAGATTGACGTCACCTTTGTTTGCTAATAATATGACTGGTAAATTCTGTCCATTTGGTAATGACGATCGGTTTCTTAAGTCTTTCAACCACTTGAATCAGATTATTTATTAATATTATATATAATTCTATATATTAAACATTACCTTTGGAATAGAATTTAATGTTTCTGGTCTTGTAAGATCAAAAACTAGAGCAGCAGCTAAACTATAAAAAAAGAGTTAACAATTTACAATTGATTTAAAATATAATTTTAGTAGTATTACGCATATCTGTAGTAAACGCTCGTAAGTGCTCCAAATCTCTCATGTCCAGCAATATCCCATAATTGTAAATTGATTGTGGTGTAATTGTCCCAAGTGATTGTCTTTATTGCAAAATCAGCTCCAATAGTTATCTTGTATTTGCTAGAAAATGTATCTAGAAACATAAGAAAAGCGGTTATAAAAATTACCTTATTGTATTTTTCTAATATTTTATCACTATCACTTGACTTTAAATAATTTAAATTATTAATTTATTTGTTGATACAAGTATAAGATTTACTTCTTATATAGTTTTAAGCAAGGATCAGTTAATGTTCCAAACACCCCCCATTAAGCAATTGATTTTTCCCCGTGGAATGCGGGTTTTATCGATTTCGTTTGTAACACTGAAACATATTTCCTGGTAGCAAGGAACTCGCAACAACTTACATAAAAGCAACAACAATAACAACATAGAAAATACAAAAAAAAATATTACTAACCTTCTGCATATCTTCGAATTATTGAAGTTTTACCTGTAAGTTCAAATAAAATAAATATGAAGCAAAAATTTAGTACTTATAAATATAATTAGATTAACATATTTTTTTTTTAAATAATTAACGAATAAAAAAAATGTGTTAAGTACCGACACCGTAGTCACCAATAACCAGATATTTGAAAAGCAATTCCTTCTTGTAACATAAATTGTTGTTGTCTTCAGACACAGAATCGGTCATTTTGACAGTATTAATATCACTGATCATTACTGTGTTATCTTTCACTGATAAAAATTTGCGCAACTTTCGTTGTGTGGGAACAGCGTTAGTCTGAGAGTAAAACTATTCAAATTTAGTGGCGCGCAATTGAACGATGCGCGAAAACATTGGTAGGGATAAACGAAATGAAAGTTTTATTTACCTATTGTTTGAACCTTTTTTATTGATAAATTATCAATCACATATAATAATAATATATAGTTTATTATATTAAGTTTTGTACGAGCAAAACGTTAATTAACTATAAGTTTTACAACAAATAATGGAAAACTGCTATAGTTGTCGGGATTTTGAGCCAGCCGGGATTTCTAAAGTCGGGATTTTGATACACTGGGATTTCGGTTGTCGGGCTTGCGATTGCCACCGGTTTTGAATCATTCTTGTAGAATTAGTTGGATTATGTCAATATGGAAATAATAAGAATTTTAATTTAATTTACGAATTCATTTGTGTCCTTGAAGTAAGCAAAATATAAATTATAAAAGACGAACTTAATTTTAATCTTTAAAAACATTGATAACAGTTGATTTTTGAAAATTTATAAGATATATGTACATATACGCGAATTATCAATTTATAAAATGTTAAAATACAGTCACACCTCGGTTAATGTTAACTCTAAACACGAAGCTTGAATATAAAGAAACTCGCAATTGACTGAAAATATTGATAGTTCTTGGAAAGAAGTCACTAAGAAATGCTTCAATGGAATATGTCCAGAAGTTGTACTAGAACAGAGGCGTCCAAACTTTTTGCTGCGAGGGCCAGTTTGGTATTTAAATTCATTAGCGGGGGCCAAGCATTGTACATATGTGAATTAAAAAACCTTATTACAAGTAAAGCAGCATTGAATTTTATTTTTTATAGTATGTAGCGACGCTACATTTATATTTAACAAAATTTTTCAAAATACTTGGCGGGCCGGATAAAATCGCCTGCCGGGCCGGGTTTGGCCGTAGTTTGGACACCTCTGTACTAGAAGAACAAAATCAATAGACATATCAATGAAGATATTGAAATTTAAGAAGTTCGAGAAAAATATGCAAGGAACAAAATTTTTTAGTGAAAATGACACCAAGAAGTGTTATTCCTAAGTTCTCCGTATAGGCAATTATTAAATTAAAGAGAAAAAAAGTATAAACAAATTTTAAAATGTGATTTCACTTATTTCCGAATGAAGGATTTGCTTAACTAATGTAGTTTAGTGTAACGCAACTTTTTCGTTAATTTAGGTATGTTTGTATTGTAACTGTAAAATATTTCAAGCGGAATATTTTTTGTATCAAAAGTAAGTATTTATATCGTAGAAATCAGTTACGAGAAAGTAAATTGTTTACAATTTGTAAATAATAAATGTTCATATCAGAGGCAATTAATTTCAAATTAAATGTAATATAAGTTGCCTATAACAAACAACCCCTTCTGCATTTTCTTTCATATACAGTGGAACCTCGCTTAACGAGCTACGAGGTGCGAGCATTTCTCTTAACGAGCAAAATGAATTGCATTTTGCTTAACGAGCGACGTTTCGCATAACAAGTGACGATGAGAAGAGAAGTACCGGATTGCGCGTCTGGTACATCATTTTCAAAACTTGTGTACACATATTTTGTGCATTTTTGAATATATTAACCATCTTCGGTTTTCTTTGTCACTTTTGTTTAAAGTAAATGCAAATTTGTGTTTGCTGTAAATGTAAAACACAAATGTATTGTTTCCAACCATTATTATAATATATAAACACACTATGTACGCTTTTTATATAAACAAACATTAAAAGTATAAAGAGACTTCCAACAAGACCCCGAATTGATACAAATAATATAAACTCTCTTCACCGTGTGTGAATTGAAAAACAGTTCCTAGTGTTAGTGGTCATTCTAGTTGCATCTTAGTGTTGTTTGTGATCACAAAAATTCCAAACTTGTGTTCAGACATGTTATTTGTTTTTTTTTCTGCAAAATTTAATAACACTTGCATGTTTCCAAATAAAAAGCCCAAGAATAAAAATAAACATAGATATGAAAAGCAAAATCATGAAAAATCGAGACCAAGTTATATTTCTTTTTCCGACTTGGAAAGCATTATCGTAAGTTACATTAGTTCATATGGGAAAAACTGTTTCACTTTACGAGTAAAAATCCCGAAATTTTGGAACGGATTAAACTCGTTAAGCGAGGTTCTACTGTATTTGAAAATGCGAATGTTATATCAAGAAATTAATATAGATTGTCTGTAGTTAATAAATATTAACTCACTTACCTTAGCACTATTACTAATATATTCACATGTCTTTATTCTAGGTAGTATTTTTGTCTTACCTTAGTCAAATTCAATATAAAAAGTGTATTTGAATATAATGGAAAATTTAAATAAAAAAATAGGTAGAATTTAAATTTAATGTAATTATATTTCCTAATAATTAATATCAAAAGCTACACATCAGTAAATATACCAAGGGAGACACAAAATACTTATTTCTTTCTTTATTTCAGCAGGACATAAACGTATGTATGTTCGTAAATATATGAATTGCACGTATCTTTAAATTTGCAAAAATATTACAATAAACATGTATATTTATATCATTGAGTATATATAATAAGTAGATATTGCAAAGCTCGGAATATTCAGTCTTTCACGTGGAAACTTTTAAGTACTTTCTTCTTGTTATGCTCGTAGGGCACATTTATCCAATAAGCTATCTATATAGTTGAATATACATAGAAACATTTATAAGCTGTACATAGGCTTCCAATTTCATATAAATAAAATTCTTAAAACTAACATTTTTCTTACACTTTGGCCACCACTTCATAAGCTTCATATTATATAATTATTTTTTTTTGGCACATTTTTTTTATGATTATAAACGTAATATATCAAAAAAAAAAACAATAAATTATCCTTAATATAATTAACATTTACACAAAAAAATAATAATAATTAGTAAACTAAATATAGGAAAAATAATTCAATACATATTCACATATTAAACTTGTCATAAACTTATTATAATAATAATTGAAATGGTATTTCAAAGGAAAGTAATATTCGCAGATCATAATGGTATTGTTGGTATAGTTGTTGTTATTAAGTTTATTTACACAGCGGAATGCCTTCCAATTTCTACCGGCTTTGTGTGGACCTGCTTTCCGTCGAATTCCACCGAAATGTTTCTCTTCTCGTAGTTGATTGGTTGGGTCGAATTTTGGTTGGTGTTCAATGGTTCCTTTTCCTCACTGGAATTTTTTTTTACAAAAAAGAATATTATTTTACAGTTAACACATATTTATTACGCAAATGCAATCATGCTATAGTATCGTATGCATCACACAAATTACACATAAACAACCTACTCCAATGCGCGATGATCCAATATCTTCATAAATTTATTTATTATAAAGCAAATTAAATTTTTCTATTTTGTAGATTTATCTACTGATTTTATTATAATCTTCTATAGTAATATTTTGCTAATGTTGTATTTTTTCATTTACAAGACTACTTTTTTAAGTACATAACAAATATGCATATTTATTTAGCTTATAGTAAATGAAAATGCACGTTATTCAAATTACCTTAATTACGTATATTTTCTCTATTTTTTTATCAACTATGAAATAACCACTTTATTAGAAATTGAAGCTTTAGCTTTTAATAGAAAATACCTCAAAATTTAAAATGCAAATTGAAAATGTTTGTTGTTCGGTTTGGTAACAACATGCTGACGTGTTATATAATTAGTCATTTCATGGAACCTAAAAGTATAACATTTTGAACATGCTAAAATAATAAAACGTAAGGAAACAGAGTTTTTGACATGCAAGAAATAACATGCAACAATTAGGATATATAGTGCAGGCTGGATTGATGCATCTTTGAAACACTTATAAGAAAACAAGACCAGAAACGCTTACACATCCGAAGGGGCCAACTTGACGGGCATTGGTAGGTTCAGACTATTTGGATGGATTGGGGCAGCTTTGTAACTGCAATAAGGCAGCGGAAATCGCCAACTGTATAGACTAAAATAACCCAACTACTGTATCGATGGTTTGATTTGGTAAAGGACGAAAGGACGAAAAGTGCCACAGAGAAGCTAATCCGACCGTGACAGATTTTACAGTGGATGGTGATGTATAGAGAGAGAAGAGTGTGATAGGTAGACTAACGGATGAATTAAAAGACATACCTTCCAAGTTTCGGATCCTCTTCGTCGACGGACTTCGAGCGGTAACAGAGCATGGCAATAATTCCAGCTCTGTTAACACAGAAGCAAGTGATGTCGACAACAATGAGGATTAATAGAACAGCTCCGACGACAATCCCAATTATCATAGCACTGCTAATTGCTGGTCCTTCGTGATTCGAGATAGCAGTATCAAGACCTAGATGCAAAATAAAATATTATTAATCCCGCCAAAACCAATGAAAAGGTGTAACAGCTAAAGAATCGATTAGTACATTAGTTTTGTGTATCAGGCATGTAGAACAGAAAAGAAATAAAGAAATCATTGTTTGTTCTGTTGGTGTCTGTTTTATTTTTGTAGTTTTTTAGTACTTGTAACCCTATATAAGAAATGTTAAATAGTTGTTTTTAAAGTAAAGAATAAACTTCTAATCTCTAGATGCCCATGCTGGGATGAAAGATTCGCGTAAAGGAAGTAGAAAACAAAAATAAGAAATAGAAATCCGTTTTTATTGTGTGTGATACGAATTATTTACATACATGCAAGTAGAAGCAGTAAAACGGGGGAACAAAGCGAAGGGAATTACTTGAAGCTACCAAAAATATTTATACCTTTATACTCCCAACTGCAGAATAAAAGTATAAACCATATTTGTCTACGTACATTCTGTCGACTGTTGTCTCACTCTCCTTTTTATTTATATAAAAATAAATTGTATTTTTTTTTCTTGTCATTAAGCCAAATACATTAAAAACAAAACTCACTCAACTAAAGCCACTTTTACATCACTTCACAAAAGCACGAGAATTCGACATAAATAAAAATAAAAGCTGTATTTATTTTCATTTTTGTTCTTTGGGGTTGAGAATGTAGACTAGTTTTTGGTGGAAAATACATGGTGAAGTCTAAATTAAATCATTTATTTATATGTTTAACTCTCATATATATATTTATAAAAAAAACAATTCTCATTTCGTATTCCTTCGATAAGTTTTTTTTCTTCTTCTGTTATATCATATAAACTTAGAATTTTATAAACATTACAAATTTTTAGTATTATTAATCAATAAAAATTAACTTTTTCTTTCATTGCGTTTTGATGATGATTTCAAATTTATTGTCATTCGAATGTAAACTAATAAAATGAAAACGAAATAAACATGCACATTTTGACGGAAAACAACATGCTCAAAACGGAAATAATAATATTACAAAAAAAAACACACAAAATGAATGATATTAATAACATTTATTTGCTCCATGCAACGAGGAACGTCAACTACATTGATTGAGATAGATCCATTTGAAAATAAGGAAAATTTTGGCAGCATTTTTATCTTAGATTTATATTTAATATTAAGTTACATACTAGAGCACGTTCATTCCAAGTATTCCAGATTCACTCACAATTAGAAGTTAGTTACAAGGTGAACAAAAATAAAATTCTACCTAATAACGGAAAGTAAATCACAATAAAAACGGATTAAAAATTATACAAAGCTGCTTTCGAGTGCACGAAATGATTGTACGAAGATGGAAATTAAAATATAATGCATGCTCTAATTTGATTAAGAATGGAATGTGAAATTATTTAAACTAGAGCATAAAGTCAGCACTAAAAAAAAGAAGAAAACGAAATGTATTTAGTAAACACTAAAACTGAAGTGATACCGAAATATGATAAATCGTAACTAGATGTTCGTAGCATGCTCACGATAAAGTAGTCACTAGAATTTGAATAATAATGAAAGTTTACCTCTTGAAAACGATTCAAAATTGCCCTCACATTATCTACTAATTTTTGGTATGATTTGAGAAACAAACAAAAAAAACAACGAAAAACACTTATTTAATATGTACAGAAAGAAAATCGCACGGCGTCGAAGTTTCAGATATTTTGGGAATACCATGGACTTTGCCGAGTGCAATTAACAAAACATATTCGTTTACCCCTGTATAATTATTAATTTCATTTAAATTACATTTAAGTTGTATTCTTTATAATTCGTTTATATTCAGATTTTAGCATAGATTCAATCGTAATGAAATTGGTAAAAGCAGAGTCGCAGCTTGCAGTAGGTATGAGACCGAAGACCTCGATGAAGCCCCATAGTATCGACCTACTACAAAGGGTAGGCAATCGTTAAAATCAAACACTTACATACACACAGATACACACTAAATATTACATAACTTAAATAAAAAAAAAATCATAATAAAATAAAAATCAAAATATTTTTTTTTAAAGGGTTGGGTGTGTACAGAAATGAGGGAAAAATATTAAATAAAAAAATAAAATAAGAAAACAAATTAAAACAAACATGATCACAAGGGGATTAAAGTACATAGGAGGAGAAGGAACGGGAGAAAATCGTAACGTAAATGACTAACACTGCTCGTTGAATAACTGAAATATTGCTGCTCCTTACCTCTTGCCGTTTTAACTCTGATTTCAGCCGGGGAGCTTGTTCCAATCGCGTTGTGCGCCCTTAATTCAATTTTGTATGTAGTGTCTGCGCTAAGTTGGTTCAATTCGTAATGGGTATATTCGAAGGATTGAGTTATTTCGGTGCTGCATTCTGCTGTCGAGTCCCTCCACTCACCGTTCACCCTGTGCGACTGCAAAAGTCAAATTTCATTAAATTTGCCATACGTACGTAATGTACGTAAAATGAATCCCGCGAAACTTTTAATCAAATAGTTTTACAGTTCGCATTGCAACGTATTTAAAATTATTACGAACTTCTTCCTGCGAAATTCCTCTCCTATTACCAAAACTAATTTCACAATTCCAACGTAAATATAAATAACAAAAATACATTGAAATATCAACAATTGAACTGAGCGATTACTGTATTTTTAATTTAGAATATTAGATATATAAGAAAACATTGATAAATTTTAAAAGCAAAGTGTTCGACCGCGAATCCATTAATATTAACAGTATTCATTACGAGAATTGAATACTGGTTGAAAAACTTTAGATGGGATGTGATTTTTAATTGCAAAGTATACATAATGTATCGACAGCGGATACATTAATTCGCGTCGAATTTGCGAAGAAATGTAGTGTAGCAGCTCGTTCCATACAAATCAAAGTCAGGGTTTAGTTTAATTAAAGTTTTGCACTTACCACACAATATTTAATCAAGTAGCTATCGATCGGATCCCCATTATCACTGGGCACATTCCATCTCAATTCGAAGTGATCCGCATACGGGCTGTTCGCAACGAAATCTCTAGTGCTATTCTCATGTAAATTGGACACTAAAATTTTGGGCTCCGCAGGGACAGAGCGGCGTGGCATCGTTATCAATTCCTGCGCTCCGAAATGTCCAATACCCACATCATTCTTGGCTGCAAATCGGAAGGTGTACGTCTCTTGTGGTACCAAATTCTCAACAATGTACGGAGCGTCTGCAGGAAAAATGCGAAAGCATTAATTTCAATAAATCTATTTAAATGGTAACTGCGATTTACCTATGCTCCAGGTGCGGTTCATGGCGGTGTCCCAAATACGTTCGCGTTCAGTCTGGTATTGAACGATGATGGCTCTCAAAGGTAAACCGTGCAAAACTGGTGGTCCGACGATGTTGAATTTAACGGTGGTCGCAGTTAAATCAGCTCTGGTGACTTGCTGGATGTTTCCGGGAACTACGGCTTGCTTGAGCTCGATGAAGTGAGTAGCGTCTCCCAGACGATTCTTGGCAATGCATTCGTATTTCGTGAAGAACTTCTTTTCACTGTAAGCGGAAACGATAAGGTTCGATTGTGGCCCATTATTGATGATCTTCATATTCGGGGAATTCTGGATCTCCACGCCTCCCAGTCTCCATATGATAGTGGCGTTCGGAATAGACTCGGCGATGCAACTTAAATTTCCTGGACGATTATCCCATGTCCAGACCGGAGGATAATGCTTGGTCTTCTCGAAAGTCGGGGGGAACTCCACAGTGATGTGCCCGTTCTTGTAGGCAGCATCAACTTCGTTCTCAGCAATGCACTCGTACAAGCCGTCATCAGTGCGATTCACTCGGGAAATGCTCAAAATACCGTAAGTTTCTCCTTTGGCTGGGTCGTTGCTTTGCTCAACAACGATACGCTTGTCTTCCTTTTGTGGACCAATGGTGTAAGCGTCCTTCAAAGATAATTTCCTGAAACTCACACGGGGCGTTGGTCGTCCGAAAGCTTTGCAGATGATCTTGGTCTCGGTGTCAATTGGGGAAGTTATATTAATAAATTCGAAAATTTTCGGCTTTATGAGCACGTTGATTTTAACGGTGGTTTCGGCTCTTCCTGCTTGATTCTCAGCGATGCACTTGTATACTGAATTATCATTGTATTCAACCTTGTTGATTATAAGAAGCCCGGTGTTCTTCTTGACATCGAATCGATCAGTGGTAGCCAAGTTTTCGCGAGTCTTTTCTTTGATCCATGTATATTCTGGTGGAGGTTTACCGGAGCCGCTGCATTGAACAGAAGCCTGTTCACCTTCGATAATCGAAATCTCTTTGAGTTCATTGAGCTGCGGTGGTACTTGCACTTCAACCTATTTAAATAAAATAAATAAATCTCTAGTATGAATTAGACTATTATAGAGTTTACTTTAATGTTCCTTTCTTTGACGTTTCCGGTGCTGACCACGACAGCTCTGCAGGTGTATAGACCATCATCGGATTCACGAACGTTTTTAATCAGCAACCCTTTATTATCGGTGACATATCTATCGCTGGATATAATGGCAACTTTATTCCGGACCCATTCAACGATCGGAGCAGGTTTCGCTTGGACTTCGCAACGAATCCTGTAATCCTTTCCGAGTACTGGAAATTGAGACTCCGGAGCATCGACCCATGTAATATCAACTGCAAATGAATAATAATTATAAACACAATCCATTCGTATGCAATCCTGCAATATGCGTACTGATTGTATCGACTTTGATGGTGGCCTCAATCGCTTCGGTGTTTGCATATTTCGCGGAACAAGTATAATCTCCAGCCTGATCCTCAGTCAATTTGGTGAAAATCAAAACTGCTCCTGGCTCGGAAGTTAATTGCTAAACGAAAACAATTTAGTCGTTACTACATGTTACAAAAAAATATTGATTATTTATATTTTACTTGGACATATGGTGAGGACGAATCGGTATTAGTGTCGATCTTCCTGTTCTTGGGATCCCTCCACTCGAGCTGGGTTATCAGGCTGGGATTCTGGACGTTCGGTTTACAAGTTAATGCCAAACTGAGTCCGATGGCTTTAGTGATCACTGAACTCTTCGGGAGGATTTCCAGCTTCGGCTGATCATCCGCTTTCGCTGCGAACATAAAATTTCGAATTTATTCACTCTGGTTTCGTATTGGCAAAAGGGGGATGAGGGTGGTTGTGGTGGTGGTGTTGACTGGAGATTGGGATTAATTGTGCGTTTAATTTCTTGCGGGGTTCGCTTCAAGTGGTTGCCCCTTTGTCTAAATCGGTGTGGAAAATCTTGTGCGAATGACGCTTGAAGCTGAGTGATTGGGGCAATGAAGATGGATGTGACAGACTGAGGGAAATCACTGGATGCTGGCTGGTCGAGTCACTATTTGGAGGCGAAGGGTGTGTAGACAATAGAATGCCACAATTAATATCGCCGCCAGTTCTATTAATTAATGTCCACGAGGCGAGTAATTAACTTCAATTCAATATGCAAACAACAATATATTACTATTCCTATTAAAAACAAAACTACACTATGTCTCCGGAGAAGATTAATACCACTAAATTGGTTTATAACTCAACAATACTTGAACGTTAATCACTCATATGAAAATGTTTATATTTTATTATCCTCATAGAATAATTCATACTTCTAAATTTAACAAAATAATTTAAAACTTTAATTAATAAGTTACATAATACGTTTTTATGATCAAAATTTCGAATTTATATGAACTTTTCTAACAATCATAAATTTATTTTATATGTATATAATTATGCTTTAAATTTGTAGTCCGAACTTTGCGCTTTGTGCTGGAACAACAATATGGAATTGGGATAATTTATGCGAACTCTCGAAAGCTTTTAATCTAAAATGGAAATACTTTTCAGGTCAACAGGATTTTTATTTCGTTCCGACTCTTAATGCGGTCTGCAGATTCGTTTGTGCAAAAATATTATACACTCGGCTTGTTACAATCCGGGTTTAGGTACCGATAAATCGTCCACGATGTTAAATCTATCAATCGGAACGCCCAAAATCTGTATTCCAGGAGCTGCACAACCACTGGACGTCCGAACAGATTCAATTTGTTACTTTCGAATAGAGCACGGGAAGAGATATATAGTCGTCGAGGTGAAGTACAAACATACGTGTAAGAGGGGGGTATAGTGTGTTCAATTCAAATCCTATCATAAATTCCATTACAAATGAATTATAGAAAGGACCAACTAAAAAAAAACAACGAACGCATTTATCTCGATACAAAAATAGAAGGAGAATAGAAATCAATTATTTTCAGGTGCTGTGTGCAATTCCCATCGATACGAAGTTACGATCACGATGCTGCAATCTATATAGTTTATATGTTTGTGCTGTTTTTTTTTCGTACGTGGTTGTTATATATATTCTTTTTTTTTTGGTGCGTGTTTGGGCGAAGTTAAAAATGAAAAAGTCTTCGGGGTTGTTCGGTAATTTAGTGCCCCTCGGTGGCGTCCCTTTCTGCTGCGAAAAGGGCACTAAGTAATACGTATAATGGCCCCATAAACTACAATTACAGAGCGAACACATGGGGCACAAGCAAACTATACTCCTGTGGCCGAAAAGTTTCGCATTAGTTAAATGCTTGTAAGGAATTCCTAATTGTTTTGCACCGCAATTATTAGGATCACAAAGGTGCGAGGATAAAGTAACTCTTTGCATTACCATTAAAGTTTTATGTACATCTGTTTCCACTATTAAATCCACACAACGTAATGCAACAACTTCTAGTTCTTTACACTGAACTGCAAAAAAATTTCATTGAAAAACTAATTTAACATTACTTCATTCAATTTCATTACAAGTATATAAATTCCATTTACATAGAAATTCTGTTCTTCATTAGTGTATTCTATATTTTATGCAAACAATTATGTATTAAAGTAAAAACGCTAATTTTAGAAAATTACTACAAACAATTATTAACTTATATAATAATTGTATAAATAAAGAGATTACAAAAAGCTTATAAGATAGATTCAATATGAAATGTGATGTACTTTCTATATTTGTTGAGATCGATTGTTATTAATACATATTTGTAATAATGAAAAAAAGAAACAAGTTTAATTAATTCAAGAATTATGAACTTTAAAGACTCTGAAGTTACTTAATCTAGAAGTTATTACTCTAAAAATCTATGTAGCATGAAATTACGTTTATCGATTAAAAAAGGAAGGAAAATTTGCATTTCCGGATGTAAGCTCCCTCTTTCGTTTTAGAGGTTGAGGAGTCGTCTTCCTGTGGGTTCAGCGCCTCCGAAAAATAGTACATTTCGCCTCCCTTTCCACAGTTTCATGCTATATGACGCGTAACGCCATTAACATTGCCATTTATCAAAGTTCCGCGACATTTCCCATCAAAAATCTTCACGTTTTTATTGTTTTCCAGAGGGTTAATACTTGGCAACCGACAGTCTTCTGGAGCGCCACCCCCGTAAACATAATATGTCCCAGAATGGTGGGTATACGTAGGTATACATTTTTCTTTGCATGCGTGAATTCCTAGCTCGTGGTTGAAATATTATCCTATTTTATAGTCCTATACATATATACATTCTTGCCCTCCTCCGACATGCAGAAATTTTTCATCTCGCAGCGTTTCGAGGATGAAATGTGTATGTGTTCACAAACGGCCGCACATTTACAGCTCAATTTTCCTTAACTATTCTTCCGACGTCCCGCAAACACCGAGAACCGAAGTGAACCAAGTAATCTATTGATTCCAATTAATCTAATTTCAAATTGAATACATTTCCGGTTCCCAAAGGCTATATTAAATTGTTGCTCGTGTTTGCGGATATGTGATGTAAGCTTTGCCAAATGCATTAAACCGAAATCAATATAGTGGCTGTGTTCTCAATAAATACCATTTACGAGATCAAAGATGTCTACAAACAATATGTTTACTATATTACAGTTGCTAATTACCAAAAAATATTAATTACAAATCTTAACGACAAACAGATAAACAAGAATTCGGTATGTTTTTATTAATAATTGTACGGATTACTGCATTCATTGAAGTTCCAGTAAATTAGGTATAATCCAGGAATACAATAAACTATTGATTATAATTTGATCTAATTTCGAATTGAATGCAATCTCGTTCCGGTTCCCTTTGCGAAAATGCAAATTGGATCTTTTTGTTATGCAATTCGTGCACGCCCCGCACTTAGGCACTAATGAATGTTATGATTCGGACGGGGTGCAGGAGGAGATTAGTTAAAAAGGACTCTCTCCTTCCCAATTATCCCGCTTGTCTTGTTCAAAAGAAATGCGCGCTCGAGAGGAATCTCATTTTTTTCAATTTATTACTCACCCTATTCATCCAAACAAATCGAGAAACCAACTATCAATTATGAATCTCATCATCGAACTAAGAATCCGTCAAAACCAAAATTGTTTTCATTAGAATTACTTAAAGCTTAATTTCAGTTTCTTTAAATTGTAATCCAAATTAAGAATTTACCTATTTGTCAAAGTTAACTATATGAGAACACAATTGCATAGAAAGTTGTACATATTAATTAAACTTTAAATTAATTTTTCAAAAGAAAAGAAAATTGTATCAAAATTCTAAAAAGCTGATGTGTATATGTTTATAAATTTACTTGATTTTTTTCTATATTTGCTACATGTTTAAATGGAATATATTAAAAATAATATGGATCTATGTTATGATACACATGAAGACTATTATCATTATATAAGTGGTTATTATAACTAGAGTTTAAATTCGTGAACGAACCGCTTTATAACATAAGGGTCTATTATAGCGCAAGTTGAATACTCTATACTGAAACGGGCGGATTCTCATTTTACAACATCCACTCTCAATCTCCTCCTAAAAATAAATAATAGGCCATCAACTAACTACTTTATTTGATTACATGAATATATATTAATGTTTATTTGTTTATTAAATTTGTATGAAAACTAATATTTTTAAACTGATCAGACATGTGGTGCCATAAAAGACTTTTAAATTAAATTTAACAATTTAAATGTAGTTAAAGAAAAAAATAATTGGTTAAGTTTGTTTTCTATCATTAAAAAAGAAACAATCATTAGAATTTCCATACTAATATTCACTTTGATGTCAAAAGAATGTCATTTGAGAGCTTTATGTACATTTATTTTGTTAAACTAACTTACTGCAATACATTAATGAAACTCGAATTGCAACAATAAAAATAATAAAAAAAGAAACAATAGATATTTCCAACAGTTTTGACACATTGTTTGAAGTTCTTTTCGTGCTCGGCAACTGCTTGCTCTCAGCGATGCTTTATGTCCATTCCGAATTTAACTGCGGACTCAATAATTCCAGCAGTAAAAATAAAGTGCATAACTCCGAGGGGAGTCCCCGAAAACAACCCCTATTCACGGTCCTGATAAAGCCACCAGTTGATATCGCGCAATAAAAATAAAACAAGGGAAAAATGGCGCGTAATAAAAAACAAAAGAGGAAATACAGTGGACGTAAAAGCGAGAGCGCGTGGAGGAGGGACAATTTAACAGTCCGTGAAATTGATCGCTCGACGTCCACCTTCAAATATTTATGCCCGTTGAAACAATGAAAATTTTGGGTGTACGCAACGAACAAACCAAAAAACAAAAAAAAAAACTAAAACCAGAACAAGATTAAAACGAATGAGAACTGCTACTGGGATGCGGATATTGATTAAAACTGAGCAAGTAGGGTTTTTAATTTCTAATTGGACTTTATGCTCTACAGGCCATACGTTTTTACGATCCCGTTGACCATTATCATACTTCCAAGCATGGAAGCGAGTTGTTTAATAAAATTTTAATTAATATTTTACTACTTATAAATTAGCGAGGACCCGGATAGTTAACTTACGTTGAACTTTTCGTTTTTTTTTTAATAATTGAATCGGGTTCGTAAAGTTCGCAGACCTACACTTATTCCTTATTCATGGTTCGAGTTTTTTTTGGTTTGGACGATGTGAAGAACCTATGAATAAAAATCACTTGATTCGTACGAATCAGCAGGGCCTAATAAAATATACAGTGACATGGTTGGAATTGAATGTCCCTTTCTCTCCTCCCTTC